TCATTATTTATCGAAGTATTGATTTTTATGGAAAAAGCGCCGCAGGCAAAAATTTTTAATAAAAAATCGCGCGATTTTTTATTAAAAATTTTCATTCTTTATCGAAGTATTGATTTTTATGGAAAAAGCGCCGCAGGCGAAAATTTTTAATAAAAAATCGCGCGATTTTTTATTAAAAATTTTCATTATTTATCGAAGTATTGATTTTTATGGAAAAAGCGACGCAGGCGAAAATTTTTAATAAAAAATCGCGCGATTTTTTATTAAAAATTTTCATTATTTATATATATATTAAACGAAAGAAGATACCGAAAAGCATTGAACAGTGCACACATCTCATAAGGAAAAGTGAATTATTACGAAATACTAATCCAGTGGCAGCACAATAGCTATTTTGGAATCTCGCGTTTCAGCTGGCAAAGATTGTCAACTTCTTTTTAATAACAAAATAATCTATCTTAGGTTGATAAAACTATGTGTTTCTTTAATAAATAAGTTAAATTATATATTTTAATAGTGTTTAAAAAGTGTGAACAGGTGATTTAGTGAATCTTTGTCGGTGTAATTGCCCATCGAAAACAACGAAATTTAACAAAAGTTTTTTGTTCATAACTTTTAAATGGTTAATAATATTATCTCCCCCCCTCCGGATTGTTAATAGGGGGCCGAAACGCGTCGTTTGATACCCCTCCCGACTTTTCCGCACCTTTTTTAGGGGTTGTTACCGCACCCTAGAAAATTACCGAAATATGTAAAAATTAAGTTGATAGAGGGTGAGTTTGATAATATTGAATAATCTCAAATTAAAATTTACAAAGATCGATCCATTTTAATCGGAAGATGAAATTAAATGCGTATTACAATTCGAATAAAGCTACATCACAATTTTATAATTGGAATAATTTAGATAAATTTTCAAATAATAAGTCAGTTTCACGCTAGTTCTTTTAAAGTAAATTTGTGCATAACATTTAGATATCTACTATTTGTATGTTCCACAGCATGATTTCGATAAACATCGACTTCACATCACTGCGGTTGTTCTGGCTATTTCACACAACTAACAAGAAAATGATACCTTATTCTTTTGCATAATCATGCAATGAAAATAAAAATTACATAAACGGATAATCAAACTTGATATTATTTAATAAAAATGTAATTTTTCCAAAATATCGTAAACTAAGTCGAAACTACGGGAAAATTTTCCAAAACGGATCCAGGCTTTGAAAAAAAAAAATATTAGGGAGTATAGAGGAGCTTTTTCAGATTCTAAATCTGAAGACCCCACCCTTCGGAGGCTTATAGTTTTAAAGTAATTCGCATTTAAAGTTGCAAAAAATACCGAATTTAACCTCACCTTTTGCTTTGTACACCAATTGAAGTGAAATGTCAGTGCTGCCATACATATGAAAAAATGCCTCAAAAACACAAAACGGAAGCAATAAAAAATGCAGATAATGATCGCGCGATATTTAATAAAAAAATTTTATTATTTATTGGTCGATTTTTGATTAAAAAGTGGCATAATTTATCGAAGTATCGATTTTATAATAAAAAGCGATGTTTTATTAAAAATGTTCATTATTCATCGAAGTATCGATTTTTAGAATATAAAGCGCCGCAGGCGAAAATTTTTAATAAAGAAGCTCGCGATTTTTAATTAAAAATTTTAATTATTTATGGAAGTATCGATTTTTAGAATATAAAGGGCCGCAGGCGAAAATTTGTAATAAAAAATCGCGCGATTTTAATTAAAAATATTCATTATTTATGGAAGTATCGAGTTTTAGAATATAAAGCGCCGCAGGCGAAAATTTTTATTAAAAAATCGCGCGATTTTTAATTAAAAATTTTACTTATTTATGGAAGTATCGATTTTTAGAATATAAAGCGCCGCAGGCGAAAATTTTTAATAAAAAATCGCGCGATTTTTTATTAAAAATTTTCGATATATATGGAACTATATTAAAATATGGTTATGGTAAAATATGGCGCGACTTTATATAAAAAAATTTCATAATTTATGAAAGTATATTAAAAAAAAGAAATAAAAAAGGAAATAATACGGTTTGTAAGTGTATTTAATAGTAAAAGACGCGAAAAAATGCAGTGCTAGCTACTGCATGCGAAAAAATAAGAAGAGAGTAAAAGAAATACCGTTGGAATACGGTTGCCATAAAAATATGACGATTTTACGCACAACTCCTTTTTGTGTTGGCCGTGTTTTAATAAAATCCTTTAATAGTGGCGTATTTACTTTTAAAACGTATGGCAGCACATATTTGCTCTTACTGTCGGCCATTGTTATTTCTGTTTGTTTGTGAAAAGTGGTAAAACGTGAACACAAATTTATAAACGCGTTTTACTTAATTAATGTGTGAATTATATATAATAAAAGCATAAAATACGCATGTGAGCATTGAAAATATAATATGTAACACAAAATATAAGTGATAAGTGGCATATTTTAAAAAAATTAGGGGGTGATAGTGGACATTATTTAACAACAAATTGCTAAAATACTATTAGGAATTATATTGTGAGAGTGAACAATTCATGTTGAGGAGGCCTCCCCCCAACATCCTCACCAAGTTTCATGACGAAATTTCTTATACTTTCGCTGAAATTTCGATTGGTTCCGTTTTGGAAAGCCCACCCGAAACTACTTAGTAGAAGTCTGAAATGCGACTATGAATAGAGGTAAATTTTAAGTTGGTACTTAAATTTAAGTTGCCACTTTGTTAGCTTCGACTTAGTTGCTGGACTATGAATACGCGCCATTATTTTCACTCAACTAAGTAGCGAATATATTTTTTCAGATGGATGCCACAAGAAATTCATCCCAGACAGGAAGAAGCAGTCGATTATATCAATTATAAAGGATGGTATTCCACAGTGTTATAGGGCTTTCGCACGCGGCGATTTTTCAGGCAAGTTTTAGTTGAAAGCAAAAATCGCCTCGTCCGAACGGCCTTTCAACTAATCGCTTTCAACAAAGTTGGTCGCCAGCCAACTTTGAGCTCGTTCAACTTTTTTTTCCTTGCAACCCTGTGTTTGTTTACATTCTGTATCAGTGTTGGGATATCAAAATGTTCCTTCAGTACGAAATCTATACAAAAAATGTACTTTTCGGCTATAAATTGTATACACTTTTTAATTCGCTCATATATTTTCTTAGTACATTCCCTTCAAGACCAATGATTTTATGATATTCATGAGAAAGTTTTATTGTTTATGTACATACGTTTACGTATTTTACACTTTTACAAATTGATTCCACGTGCACATGTATTGCATTTGACGTAAATATGTATGCACACATTTTCAGGTATACATCTTAACAAAAAGCATATTTAAGTTATTATTAATGGATAAAAGAGACATTTTCTTTGGATTCAGTACTAAAATTTGACATTTTAATAGAATTTCAAGTGCTTATCAAACCTTTACGAGAAGATTTGACCATTTATCTTAATATTATTCAATTTTAATTATTTTTTGTAAAAATACGCTTTATATTTTAAGAAAAGCCGTACAAATCCAAGGTTCAAACTTTGTGCAACACTAAAAAAACCAACACACTTTCGTAAAAATTTCGATCTATTTAATTCGATTTCCTAGATTTATTTTGAGTGTGTGGTTTTTTAGCCCATTAAATTTTAATATAACTAAGTTTTTTAAGATTTCTTTGATGAAGGTGTTGCTCATTTCCTCCATATAAAAAAATCGTCGAACACACTTCGTATGGAAGAAAATGGCTGACATCGTCGACAAAACAAAATTGCCAAGTTCAACGGTAAGTCCCAGCTACTTTAAACTTGCACTTTATTATACTAAAATTGAATGGGCTAAAAACTAAAGAATATTAATAAAGCTCGAAATTTTTACGACAGTATGTTGGTTTTTGGATGTTTCGCAAAGATTTAATCTTGGGTTTATACAGTTTTTCTTAAAGAATACATTATAGTTTATAAACAGATAATTAAAATTAAAGAATAATAAAATAAATAGTAAAACCTTGTCAATATGTGAGTGCCGTAAAGGTATTATATTTAAGAAAATCTCTTCTTATAACTAACGAAGACTTTGTTTCTTTGACATTTTGTTTTAATAAAACTTAGTATCGAAAAGTTTCTTTAAAAATTTGCCTAGGCTATGTTGTACTGGCTCGTTCAAGCCATTTTTCAAAACTTACAAAGGTAAATACGAACAGGCGAACTGTGAATTTTCAGAGCTATATATTTTTAGTATTCATTACAATATTTTACTAAAAAGTACTGCGTAGTAGGAAAGAATATTGTAAATGAAATTGTATCAAACAAGTACAATTGTACCAAAAATGCCAACACTGTTCTGTATACATACTTTTTTCCTTTTTTACTTTTTTACTCTTATTTTACCTTTCAGCTTCGCTAAAAGCACTTCTACTAACGCTTGGCTTACCAAATTTACGCCAATTAATAAAACTTTGCGGTTTAAATTCATTTTCAATAATGTAAATAACGATTCGTGTTGAATCCAAAATCGCCTCGTCTGAATAGGGATGGCAACTTTTTCACTTTCAACTTCTCATTCAACTACGTATTCAACTTTTGTTGCCTGTAAAATCGCCGCGTGCGAATGCCCTATTACTAGCACTTGTTGATGCAAGGTACCCAGCATGAAATTTTTTAGATATTCTATTTTGCGTATATGCATATTCATCCGAATGTAAATTACATAGCGCATAACTTTTTCTTTTCTTTTAAAGATATCGTTTTTTTATACATCAACGTGGGAAGTCCAGGAGGATGTAATGATTCGCAAATCTTTGAAAAGTCCATCTTAAAAAGGGAACTGGAGAACTGGTCACTTCTGAACACAATGAGCACAAATTTAGGAAATTTTGACATCCCAGTTGTCATTCTCGGAGATTCTGCCTTTCGTTTTTCCAAATATTTAATGAAGCCTTTTCCATTCAGTTTGGATAAGACGCCTTCACAAAAAGCTTTCAATTACCAACTTTCGAAATCTCGTAGAGTGGTTGCAAATGCTTTTGGGCAATTGAAAGCAAGGTAATTAAGTAAATATAGAATTGGTCGTTAAATCCCACTGGGAAAATAGGTAAGCACCTTACGAGGTAAGTCATGTTTTCCCTCAGTTTTTAGTACCAAAATTGTAATCACGGCCAATGACATCTACTAGTAAAGCGCAAAATGAGCACCTCCTACGACACATTACGTTGTCAGTTGCAAAATAACGTGCAGTCGAAATTATTTCCAAGCGCCGAACTCCTCCGAGCGACTGCTCTGCATTATGCGTAACTTACTTTGTAAAGCAGCTCAGAGGTATGTCTGATACCAAATGTAGATTCTAAATTCCTACTTACATAAGGCGGCCACGTCTTTGTTAAAGTAATGGAGATTCGGCAGGGAAGTAGTAAGGACCGCCGGATGAAGGGCAATACCTTACCAGCAACTTACACTGCCGCTGTGGTGTAGTGGTAAGCAGTGCGCGCTTTCACACATCAGCACCTGGGTTCAAGCCCTGGTCAAAGCAACATCCCAAAAAATATAGAAAAAGGTTTTTTCTTAACAGCGGTCGTCCTTCGGCAGGCAATGGCAAACCTCCGAGTGTATTTCTGCCATGAAAAGCAGCTTCTCATAAAAATACAATCGCCGTTTGGAGTCGGCGTAAAACTGTAGGTCCCTCCGCTTTGTATGACAACATCAAGGCGCACGCCACAAGTCGGAGGAGAAGCTCGGCCAAACACTAACATATGTGTAAGCGCCAATCTATTATTATTATTATTATTAGTAGGTGGCATTAGCCATGATGACAATTTTGGTACTAAAAACTGAAAGAAAACATGGATTACCTCGTAAGGTGCTTACTTATTTGCCCAGTGGGATACACTTATTATTTTAACATATATGTATAGAAATTTAGGTTTCGCCGGATCGGAAAAGGAATTGATAACAGAAGTGATAATGCAAATTCTATTATAAAGGCTTGTTGTGCTTTGCACAACTTTTTAATAGCAGAAAATGACCCAGTTACACCTTCTTGGCTTAACGAGCAGCACGCTAATAATATTAGGAGAAGACAACCACAATCCGTGGACACGCAGAAGCGGAATCAATAAGAAATGCGTTCTGTTCATATTTCAGTAAGTTAATATCACGTTTATTTCAGTTCATGTCTTTTTATCTTGACGCGAAGTAAAAAAAAACTTTTAGTTTTAAGAAAGGAAAAAGGTACTCTAGAAAAATGGTATCACAATTTCAAATCCAAGCACTTCATTTCACAAAATCTTGCTTTCTATATACTTAAAATCTACTTCAAAAATGTAAACAAAATAATTCAGTGCAATTCTCAAAACTAAAACTAACTACTTCAAAAATAAAAACAAAATATCTCAGTCTAATTTCTACATACTATTTCCTTAAAATCTATTTAAAAAATCAAGTACTCCATCCGTCAGCCTTCTCGCATCCCTCTGCAGTTCTTGCATTGCGACTAGCTTTGCCTTTTCTATTTCGACCAATCCATCGTTCGATTTTGTGAATTTTTTCCATAGCCTCCGAAAAATTGCTTTGGATACCCTCACAAATCGTCACTAATCGATCCATCTGTTTTTGTTTTCCAGATCTGGTAGATGTTGCTGCGCTTGATATTGATGGGGAGTGTTGTCCCTCCCGATCCTGACGGCAGTGGTGATGAACACGACGGTGATGGCGACAGCTGGGGAAGAGAAGGAGAAAGCGACGAGATATTTGTCGGGGATGATGACATCGAATCTGAAAGTGAGTATTTTGAATTTATGTATATAGATTAGTTTTTAATAATAACAAGTAAGAAAGTCTAAGTTCGGGCGGAGCCGAACATTAATTACTCGGCGCAAGTATTAAATATATGTTTTTTCACCTTTCCGAAGGCTACCGCTACATGGTAATCCGGGGCGTATCAATTTTGAGTTAAATTTCGAAATATCGCAGTTTCAAGCATTTCTGAAATTTACCGTTATATGAAAAGCGGCCGTAATTTTAGTCCGATTTCAATAATTTTCAACGTTTTGCTTTTATGTGGCAAGCACAATAAAAATATCGAGTTTGGTACAAATTGGTAGAACTGTTACCGATATACATACATATATGTGATTATAAGTGGGCGGTGCCACGCCCATTTTCCAAAATTTTACCATAAGCGTATTTCTTGGTAAAGAATTGTTGCAAACATCAATTTTGAATAAATTAGCTTTAATATTTTCTGATTTATCGAAGATTTTGTATTTCTCTACATTACCGTTATATGGGATGTGGGCGTGGTTATTGTCCGATTTTTAAAATTTTCGGCCATTTAGTATACTGTACCAAGGCCAACAACTGTGCCAAGTTTGGAAGAAATTGGTGCAGCGGTTACCAAGATACACACATGTAACCATAAGTGGGCGTGGCTACGCCCATTTTCCAAAAAATTATAATATTCTTATTTTTCATCTAAAAATTGTTGTAAATACTAATTTAGAGTGAATAATTTTCAGTAGTTACTAAAATATCGCCGTTTTCGTATTTACGAAAATTACCGTAATATGGGATGTGGGCGTACCAAGATATGTACATGTAACCATAAGTGGGCGTGGCTACGCCCATTTTCCAAAAATTTATAATATTCTTATTTTTCGTTTAAAAATTACTGTAAATATCAATTTTGAGTGAATTATCTTCAGTAGTTCCTAAAATATCGCAGTTTTCGCATTTCTGGAAATTACCGTTATATGGGAAGTGGGCGTGGTTACAGTCCGATTTTGCCCATTTTCAATACCAACCTACATACCAAATTTCGTTGAGATATCTCAATTTTTGCTCGAGTTATCGTGTACACGGATGGACGGACAGACGGACGGACAGACAGACATGGCTTAATCGATTTCTCTTTTCATTCTGATCATTTATCTATACATTCGTCTATATCTATCTCGATTCGTTTTGGCTGTTACAAACAACCGTTATGTGAACAAAATTAATATACCCTTGTGCACAAGTGCGCTCGGGTATAAAAATGATTTTGAATATGCCTACAATTTCATCATGTAAATTGAATAACTAGCAATTACCTTCAAAACTCTCTTCTATCAGCTCTTCCACGTTATTGTTGGAGACGCCACCAATTGTTTGGTGCACCTGCTCAAATAAATGCCAAGAAGCATACCTGCCTTGGCCTATCCTATGAAAAAAAACATTACAGGAATAAATATTTTTTATAACTTTGGAATGACTATAGTTACCTATATTCTGCCGTCAAATTGTCAATCTTAATTTTTACAGATGAGGAATTGACATCATATTCTTGCATCTGCATTTCTGCCGCCATCTCCTGATAGACATGGCTGTTTTTTCTGGGCCCCCTCAAGTCATCCACTTTTTGTTGCCACAACATCACAAATACCTCCTCTGCATCTGCGGTCCAAAGATTTCGCGATCGCTTATGTATGTATCAGCAAAATAAAATGTCAACAAATATTTATGTATATACACAGAAACAAGCGGTATTGCCACTTTTTTTCATTAAATCTTGTTCGAATCTTCAAAGAACGCAGGGTTGCTTTTAGCATTTAGATTCTTAATGCAAGGATTGAGTTGCATTTAGTTGCATTTAGATGACGAATTTTGTATGGATAAATGTTCATTTACAGCTAAATGCTCTAAATGTACATTTACGCGTAAGCAAAAACAGCCCATTATACTTCTCACAGGCATTGTATTTCTCTTAGTTTATGCAATATCTCTCATTATTTGCTTGTACAGATATATATGTACCGTATCATGCACTTCTATTGTTATTTACAACATATTTACACACAATTAAACTTATAGCTTGCTTATTCGCAACTCGCTTCTCTGCTCACTTTACTTGTAGCTTGCTGACTTGTAACTCACTCACCTCGCGTTGGCGGCGCCCTTATATACCTGCGCTGGCACTTATGGCGACTCCAGAACATCTGAAGTTTATCGCTCATTCTCTTTCTCTCGCTGTTCGCAGTGTTCGTCCAACTTGACGTTTCTCTTTGTGGAACATTCTACGTCATTCCTCGAACATTCTGCCTATTTCTCGTTGTTCGCTTTGTGTTGCCGCAGTATTCGCCACACTGCCCTCCACCTAAGTCTGATCAGACACACTTGCCGCTCCAACCGCTGCAAGTCTTTCCAAGTGGGCCACTTTCATCTTGGTCCTCGGTTTCCCCATTGTCTGGATTCGATGCACTGCGTCCTTCAGCCGTTTGTCAATCCTATATGGACCTTTCCAGTTACGCTGTTGTTCGGAGATGAAGCCTTTCTTCGGCTGCGGCATGTGCAACAACACCGAATCACCTTCCTGTAGCTCTTCTCGGCTCGATGCGTTACTGGACATTGCTTCCAGCTTATCTCCGGTGGTGCACCATCTCACATGGTCGTGCTTCTGCCGGCCACTGGTGGTGACCAGACCATGTCTCTTCTCATGGGCACCCTTTTCGCCAGATCTATGCCGCATCATTTGTCCATGACACCGAGGCTCCTGCCTTCGTGCTGAACTGTCTTTAGCACATCTTGCTAAATCCGGTTCCTCACGCTGAAACTTGCCCAGTGTTTCCGCATCTCGCTCCTTCTCCGGCGTCAACCTCATTGACCGGACATGTATTACCTCATCCTTAGCTTCCGGCTTAACTGCTCGCCTTTGCCGGCCACCTTTTCCGGGACACTTCAAAGCGCGCCTACTGCTTTCACAGCCGCTTCCATTTCCGTCCACCGGCGTATCACCATTGCAACGTGGTTCAGTGGCTTTCCTCCTGCCGGAAACACTTTCTGGCTCGCCATGACCACTTCCTTGTTGCGACCTCTTGTTCACTGAGCTGGCGGAACCGTAACGCTTTTCCTGTATCGGCGAACCACTTCCTTCTCCTGACGAAACCATTTCGTCTCCATCACTGCCAACCTCCGTCCAACTAATCGCTTCCGTTTCTGGTGGAATCTTCGACACTTCCTCTAAGACTAACCGTCTGCTGCAGCACTGGCTGTCGTAACCAACCCTAAGTGGCACTTTCCTGTGACGATCTGTCAGGAACATTCTTTGGAGGTCAATCTTCATGCCTTGGCCAAGTAAGAAATCCACGCCGATGATTACTTCATCCACAATGTCTGCCACTATAAACTTAGTGTACGAGGCCACATCGTCGATTATTACCTCGCATGGTACTTCTCCTAACACTTGGGTGCATTCACCAGTTGCAGTCTGCAGCTTTGCTCCAGGTAGTGTGTTAATGCAACAGCGTGAATACCGTCAGTTGCAAATTCCTATTTAC